CACTCAGCACTGAAGTCTGGCTTACACACACACACACACACACACACACACACACACACACACACACGAAAGGAACTTTATTCAGCTAAAGAGACAAATAAAATTATGACATTCACAAGGAAATAGATGGAACTGAGATCATTGTTAAGTAAAATAACATGATTTGTGGGGGGATTGATAGAAGGGGGACAATATTGGGGAGAGGGGGCATAATGAAATGAACAACAAAGATTGAAGGAGTGCATGAGAACAAAGCATGGGATACATGGATGACAGTGTCACAGTGAAATAAACAAAAGAAAACAAAGTTAGGGCAGCCGAAGTAGCTCAGCTGTAAAGGGATTTGCTACAAAGCCTGATGGCCTGAGTTTGATTCTCAGGATCCACAGGATAAAAAAAAAAAAAAAAAAAAAGAACGAACTCACACAAGTGCCACTCCACCATAATAAATAAATGTAAAAACCAAAATATTCTTTAAGGTTACAATGAAACCAATTCCTCTGTGCACTAAACAAAAAATAATCATAAATAAAATAACTGCCTATTCTTCTATGTCTTCTGAATTTCCAGTTAGAAATTACAGAACAATTATTTTTTAAAAATTCTATGATTTCCTAAAGTATATTTATGAATTCCCATTTTTATATTTACCTTGAGTTAATTTAGTCTAGATATACATCCAACTATTTTGCAGTGTCAATTATAATTTATTGAAGTACATTTTTACCCACTGATAAGAGATACCATCTTTATATCATATTCAAAAACAAGAAAAATGGAAGAGTAATTTTACAGAGACAGACAAGCAAATAACATGGGGAGACTGAGCCTAATTTTTTATTTGGGGTGGAAGCTTTTCATCCCCTTGGATTGTAGGAGACAGCAGTCTCACTGTGTAGCCATCTGACCTCAAAAGCACTGTGGAACCGAGCCTCATTTTGAATTCATGCCTTCCCTCCTGGCTTAGTTTCCTGAGTACTGGGATTACAGATACACATACCATACCCATTTTGAGTGGGGGAATCTTCATTTATTTCCATGCTCACTAATCTGTTCAGGACTTACCTTATTTTCTGGAATTAACACTGGCCATTTTTGTTTTCCCAGAAAAATTACACATTTTCACATGAATTATCTATCTATGTATCTACCTACATCTATCTATCTATCTATCTATCTATCCATCCATCCATCCATCCATCCATCCATCCATCTATCTTGGTTTTCCTAGATCTGTCTGTCTTGGTTTTCCTAGATAGATCTGTCTGTCAGTCTGTCTGTCTGTCTTGGTTTTCCTGTATCTATCTATCTATCTATCTATCTATCTATCTATCTATCTATCTTTTTGTTTTTTTCTAGACAGGGTTCCTCTGTATAGCACTATCCATCCTGGAACTCACTCTGTGGACCAGGTTGGCTGAACTCAGAGATCCACCTGCCTTTGCCTCCCAGCACCAGGATTAAAGGTGTGCACCACCACCGCCAGACTCAAATATTTGATTTTAGAGCAACTCTAAGGAGTACTTTGTTATAACTGGAAAAAAAATATCAGAGAATGTGATGGCATACTTTGGGAGACATTGCCATAATATCAAGGCCAGTCTGGTCTATGTAGTGAACTCCTAGCCAGACAAGGCTACAGAGTGAGACCTTGTCTAAAACAAAAATCCTTCAAATCTATAGTTAGTCTGCCTTATTATTTATGGCTATATTTTTATGTTTTTACTCATTTATATTTTTGACTAGGCTTATTTACCTATTTTTTTCATAACATTTATCTGCCATATCTTTTACTCTGTTTTGTAATTCATTGACATATAGTAACCTTTGAGACAAGGTCTCACTATGTATTTGTGCCCGGCCTGGAACTCACTCTGTAGGTCAGACTGGCTGAAAACTGTGGACCTCTGCCATCCTGATTGCTGGGATTAAAGGCCTGCACCACAACACCTGGCTGGATTTTTTAATATTAATGTTTGAAACAGGATATCATTATAAAGAATTTCATATACACACACAATGTATTCTGCTTATATTCAGCCTTCCTATTCCTCTCAATAACTGTTGTCATATCCACCCTTTACCCCTCCCCCTCCCAACTTCATGTCTTTTCTTTTTTGTAATAATTCATCAAATCCCATTTGTGCTGCCTATATACACATGGGTGTGGGACTATCTACCAGAGCATGATCAACCTAACAGGGACTATACCCCCAAAGAAAACTTACTCTCCTTGTCCTGACAATCATCAAGTATCAACAGCTGTTCATGTAGGAGTGGGGGCTCATGAGCTCCTCCCCCTTCCATGGTAGGATGTTGGCTGGCTAGAATGTTCTGTAGGCAACCACAGATGCTGTGAGTTCATGAGTGCAATGTTGTCTCATCATATTGAGAATACAATGTTCCTCCCAGTTCCTCCCTAAACTCTACCTCTTATCTTTCTTTCCCCTCTTTTGCAAAGGTCCCTAGGCCTTAGTGGGCTTATCTTCAGCTAAGCATTCCACCAACACGTATTCTCTGCACTTTGACCAGTAATGGGAAAACATAATTTAAAATTTTAAAAACACACAACAAAGTACCATCTCTTCCCTGTTAGAATGGTTAAGGTTAAAAAAGAAAGTTAGGGGCTGGCAAGATGGCTCCAAGCCACCGAGCCTGATAAACTAAGTTCAATCTCCAGGACCTACAAGGAGAACAATTCCCACAAGTTGTCCTCTGACCGCCCCACATACACTGAAGTACACACACACACACACACACACACACACACTCCATGAATAAATAAATAAATAAATAAATAAACAAATAAATAAATGTAAAATACTTTTTAAATAGAAATGTGGACTTGGTGGCACACACTTATGATCCCAGGACTCGGGAGGTAGAGATGGGAGGACTGAGAGTTCAGGGCCAGCCTTGGCTATATAAATCCTTGTCTCAAAACAAACATACAGGGGGCTGGAGAGATGGCTCAGCGGTTAAGAGCACTGACTGCTCTTCCAGAGGTCCTGAGTTCAAATCCCAGCAACCACATGGTGGCTCACAACCACCCATAATGAGATTGGATGCCCTCTTCTGGTGTGTCTGAAGACAGCTACAGTGTACTCATATACTTAAAATAAATAAATAATAATAAAAAAAAAACATACACACGCAAGCAAGATAGCTCAGCAGGTACAAGCACTTACAGCCTAAGCCTTGGGACCTGAGTTTGATCCCCAGTACCCAAGGCTGAGAGAAGGACAAAGCCAAGTCCCAAAAGTTGTCCTCTGACCTCTACACATAAGCGTCAGCATACATAACTCTCTACCTCCCCACTCACATTAATAAATTATTTCAAATTTAACTAAATACCAAAACACTACTAAAAATAAACAGACACAATACAACATGCTAACAAGTACCTGGAAAAGAGGGAACTTTTTAAACACTGTTGGTGGGAATGAAAATCAGTGCAGTCATACTGAAATATAATATCGGGATTCTTCAAAAAACTAAAAATAAATCTACCAGATGACACAACTGTACCACTTCTTGGAACAGCTGAAAGGGAATTAAATCACCATATCAATGAGATACCTGCATTAAACATTTCTTGCTACATTATTCCCAACCAAACAAGATTTCTATCAACAGATGAATGGATAGAGAAAATGTGGTAAATAAACACTGAGTTATCATTCAGCTATAAAAGAGAACAAAAGCCAAACATTTGCAATAAAATGCTGGTGGAGGAAATAATGTTAGGTAAAATAAGCCAAGGAGTCATATAATCTCTTATATTCAGAATCTTTTAAAAGGTAACCAGATCCCTATTTTTCAACACGTTTTTGGGGTTGGGAATTGAATCTAGTATCGTGTGTATGTGTGTGTATGTGTGTGTGTGTGTATGTGTGTGTGTGTGTGTAGAAGCATAAAGACCAGATGGTAACTTAAAGTGTCATCTTCAGGAATACCATCCACCTCATTTGAGATAAGACCTGTCATTAGCCAGGAGTTCACTGACTGGGCTAGACTGGCTGGAGCAGGCTAGCCCTGTTTATATCTCCGTAGTGTTGAGATCACCACACCTAGCATTATTTTTTTTTTAAAAAAAAAAAAGATTGTCCTTCACGATTTGAGAGAGTTGATTGTTCTAAAATACTGTATTAACATTTTTCTTGATCATTAAGATTTTTGGCACGCTTAAAAATTTGTGCCCAGACTGAGTATCTGATTTGTCTCACCCTTGACAAGCCCTTATAATGAATTCTTAAAGTGATATAAATCAGGGTCTAGAGAAATGGCTCCGCAGTTTAAGAGCACTAACTAAGGACACAAGCTTAGTCCCCAACATCAGTTTGGTAGTAAACAACAGTCTGTAACTCCAGTTCCAGGGCATCTGATGCCCTCTCTGGCATACATGGGCTTGTGTGAATATGTGGTGCACATAAACTTACTCGGGTTCATGTATGTAATTTAAAAAAAAATATTTTAAAGTGGTATATTGAGCCAGGTATAGTGGCACACAACTTAAATCTCAGCACTCAGGATTCATAGGCAGTCAGATCTCTGTGCGTTCAAGGCCAGCCTGGCCTACATAGTGAGTTCTAAAACAGCCAGTGCTACATAGTAAGATCCTGTCTAAAAACAAACAAATAAATAAATAAACAAGTACAAATAAATGAAGTAGTATAATGTTTATTTTTCTTTGTTTCTCCACATTTTCCAAATTATGCATAAAAAAGCATGGCTTACTCTGATTTTTTAGAAAAGTAATTTTGGTTTTTTATTTCTTTTAATGACACTGGGTCTTTATCCCATGTTGGCTTCAAACTCACTACATAGCCAAGGGTGATCTTGAACTTTGAATCCTCCTGCCACTACCACCCCTGCTCAGTTTTATACGGTGATGAAGATCAATCCCATGCGCCACACATGGTAGGCAGTTACTCTACCAACTGAGCTACATTACCAGCTCGTGGAAAAATAATACTGAAAAAAAACAAGGCAAGACTCACTCAATGAAGTTCCTTGTGCTTTCACCATGGGGCTTGCAGGAAACAAACACTAGCGTGCGGATGGCCCTGCAGTTCCGGATGGCTCGCACCACTCTGTAATCTGAAGGAGTAAGCACCTTGTTAATAAATATACTTAACCTACTGCAGTCCCTATTATTCCATACTTCACTGAGGGAGGACTACTGAGGAATGGAGAAGCTACTTCAGGGCTACCTCACAGGGAGCCCCTAAGCATGCTACGGGAATAAAGACACAGAACTGGTAGGCACCATGGGGGAAGTGGACAAGCCTACACAAGGGGAACAGCCAAGGTGTCTACCCTCCTTACGCAGTCCAGCACGGGCAGGGTTCAGCACAGCGACAGTCAACTTCTCATCTTTCTGTGACTTTAACAGCTGTGGCAAAATCGTCTCTGCTCTGCCAGCATGAAACTCACAGTTGGTGACACCTGTGGAAGAGACAACCATGTGGCATAACTCGAGCCCAACAAGTGGGAAGTTGTCAGCTTTAGAGAACTATACAGCAGCCAGAGTCCTGCCTGTCCCTTTGGCTCCAGTGTACCTCTGAACAGTAAAGAAAATGCCATGGGATCTGCTTCGGGTACTTCCCCTTGGAAAGGCTGAAGTGCTGAGACAGACAGCAGGTAAGGACCCACACCACAACAAAACCCTTGCCTTTCACTCAAGTGCACTTCCTGTGCCATCTGTTTGCACTTGGGACCTCAAGACCTGTCTAGAAGTTGGGCATGTTGGCACACATCTATAATCCCAGCACTTGGGAGGCAAAGGAGGAGATAAAGGCTTTCAAGGCCAGTCATAAAAAACAAACAAACAAAATCCTGAAAGGTTTGCCTGGAAGAACAAGAAAGGACAGAATTTGAACGATTTTCTACATTGCAATTTGTCACTTTATTCAAGGAAAAGGTTCTATTTTTTAAATTTGTAGCTTTGTTTGGTTTAAGACAGGGCCTCACTATGTGGTCCTGGCTGGCTCTCAACTCACTATATAGACTAGGTTAGCCTTGAACATACAGAAATCCACCTGCCTCTCCCTCTGCCTCTCGAGGACTGGAATTAACACCAGGCCGAAACTCTACATTCGAACCTGATTGTATTGGCTCTGATACCTTCAGAGTTGAATTAAAGCAGGTTCTTTTATTATGTTCAACATTTTATCACTTCCCTTCCTACCAACTAGGCTTGTACTTGCCTTGGGCTCATTTTTTACAAAAGAAAAAGTTACTAGGACCTCTTCTAGAAAACACCAAAATCCTTTTATGGCTACTCTAGAACTCAGGCTCCCTATAAGTTGGAGCTACAGTAGGTCCCCCTTTGCATACTAACAACTGCACTTCTGTTTGTTTGTTTGTTTTTGCAGTGCTGGTGAATGGGCCCTTGAGTGTCATGCATGCTAAGCAAGCAGCCTGCCATTGAGCTATATCTCTAGCCCCTCATTGAACTCCGTCTCTTAATTTCACCTCAGAATCTGTCTAGGTACCATTGAAGGCTGCAGTCCACCTGGCATCCTCCACTGCCTGCTCCACCAGCTCAATGCCATGAACCTGAGAGGCACGCTGAGCCAGAGAGAGGCCAATCACACCTGGAGAAGGAAGAAATGACAGGAGATGATTTTTGTGTTTTAAACCAACATGGTTATCTTTACACCATCAACACTACCTCCCACCTGCCACCCTTGAAAAGACTGTAGGTTCAGGTAGATGGCATTCGAGACCTAGACAATACATAGACTCTTCTTAGGGAGGCCACATGCCTGTTCCACAGCAAATGTCTAGGAGGATGCTATCAGAGTTTACTCCACTCAGCTCCCCGATGGTCCGATACAGCATCTCTGCACCAGCAGTGTTAATCTGGAAGAAGGCATCTGGAGAGATTCGAATCTTCAAACCCAAAAGATCTTCAAAGATGTGGGGTTCCCCAAACAGGAGCTGGTAGGGGGACTGCTGATGACTGCAACGCGTCATGGTGCTAGGAAAAAAAAAAAAGGAAGGCAGCATTTTAGACTGATAGACAGTAATACATACCTCTTACTGCTTGGTTGGAAGGGGCAGCCCAAGCCTCTTATCTGGGGGACACAGCTCCCTCACCATGGCCCTGAGACTTCTGTATGAGTTCCACTCTTGAGGGATGGAAGATACATGTACACACTCTTTTTACATCTTTTTTTTGTTTTGATTTTGAGAAGTTAAAGGCAACCATATCCCACTTCACTTTTTTAGTCTAGCCTGGGTTATGGATGCGGCTAGTGTCTGAAAGGCAGACCTAACTAGTTTATGGGCCTCCACTCTCAGTAGCCCATCACCAGTAAGCAAACTGTAAACCCAGGCTATGGCAAGTCTGCAGCCTCCTACTTCTGGTCTGGCTGCTCCAGGCTTACCTTTCCTGGAAATAGAGTGAGGTCAATTCACAGATCGCTCCAGGGCCTTTAGTGAAAAAATCCTTCAAGGTCACCTTTTGAACACAGAGCTCCTCCTGCCCAGAACAGGAAATCAAGAGTCAACTAAAGACTCATCTATGACAAATTCTCTTGCCTTAGCTACAGTAACCAGCCCCGCAGGAGTCAGACAAGACAACACATTTCTCAAATCCTATTATAAATAACAATTAGAATAAAGCAATGTTCCGAAGGACAAAAACAACAACAACAGGCTATTTTCACATCTCAGTAGAAGAGCTGCTTGACTTTTCAGCTTTTGACAAATCTCATACAATGGAACTGGCACTTTCTCTAGTTTGAGCCTCTAATAGTTCTCTACAGGAAGTGTGAGTTATTCTTATAAACAAGAAGCTAAACTAAGCTCCTGTCTCATCACGCACAGAAAATAACCTTTCAAATCCCTTCATATTTCTCTGCTTTTGCTATCCCAACCACCCACTCATGTATCACCTCAGAAGATGTGAGTCCTAGAAGAAATTAAACAGGAAACAGAAAAGAAAGAACATGGTGGGCACTGGCCGGCCGGCCGGCTGAGTAGGTAAAGGTGCCATCAAGTTGAATGACCTGGGTTTAGTCCCTGGAACCCATATGGTGGAAGGAGAGAACCTGACACACAAGTTATTCTCTGACACCCAATTCAATGTAAAAATAGTGAACATGGTAACTCCTTTTTTCTGAATACAGAACTATTAAAATTCTAATATTGCTATAATCACTAAAGACTAGCTTGGCCTACAGACACAGAGTTATAAACCAACTCAAAGTTATAGAATTTAAAAGACCAACCAGGCCAGGAATCAAAGGACTCAGAGTCAAATCCTAGCTTTGTAGTTAACTGGCTCTTTCACCTTCCATCTGACTATGCCTCCATTTGTTAATCTATGAAATGAAGGTGATAGCATTCCTCTTACGCCTACCTACTTCATAAGCTGGTGGAGATAGCTGACTCAGTATAGGGATGTTTCCATGAGAGGCTGTCTGTGTTGATTGGGGTTTTGGGGTTTTATCAACAGGGCTGATGACAGTGTGATCTAGGAAGAAGGAGCCTCAGTTCAGGACCTGCCTCCTTAAGAATTACCTGTGGGCATGTCTATTGGACATTTTCTTTTTCTTTTTTTTTTTTTAAAGATTTATTTATTATATATGAATACACTGTAGCTGTCTTCAGACACACCAGAAGAGGGCATCAGATCTCATTACAGATGGTTGTGAGCCACCATGTGGTTGCTGGGATTTGAACTCAGGACCTCTGGAAGTGCAGTCAGTGCTCTTAACCACTGAGCCATCTCTCCAGCCCATATTGGACATTTTCTTAATTGATGCTTGTTTTGAGAAAGCCCAGCCCACTTTGAGTTGTGTAATCCTTGGCTAGGTGGTCTTTAGGTATATCAGAAAGCAAACTGGAGGCTGGAGAGTTGGTTTTGTGCTTAAGAGCACTTGTTGCCATTGCAGAGGACCTGGGCTTGATTCCCAGTACTCACGTGGTGGCTCACAACTGTCTGTTACTCCAGTTTCAGAACCCAAAGCCCTCTTCTAACCTTCCTGAACACCAGGTACACACATGATACATATGTATACATGCATACACTCGTACACATAAAACAATATTCTAAATCTAAAAATAAAAGCAAAGTGAGTAAACCATAGGGAGTAAGCCAGTAAGCAGCATTTCTCCCCGACTTCTGCTTCAAATATTACCTCTAGGTTCCTGTCTTGAATTCTTGCTCTGACTTCCCTGTTCATGTTACTCTGTGAGCTATAAGGGGAAATACATCTTTTCTTCCTTAAGCTGCTGTTAGTCATGTTGGGTTTTTTTTTTTATCACAGCAATAGATAGCAAACCAGAACTCAGTCTGAAAGTGTTACGTGTATTTACAAATGTAAAGCATACTCTGGAAGGCTGCTTGGCTCCCTACTGTACTAGTAGAGTGTGTCAAGTATTTAGATTATAAACGTCTGACACGCAAATCTCCATGAAAATAGCTTTTGGATTCAATTGAGTCTACTACTGTGAGCAAAGTTCATGTGAAAATACTTGGGAATCCATGTACAATAATTATCTGGGGTAACCTAGCCAGTCTTTGTGATTTGATTATGTCAGTTATATTATATCCTTACCAACTCCTCATCCTCAAACCTACTCTCTAACCTACACAAATATTCTATTGCTGTGTAGTTTCTGCCATAAAACTTCAACAAACAGAAGAGGCTTCTTACCCTGCTAGGCTTACCTGACTTAATCCCTGGGGATGAAAAGTAACAATAGCCATTGTGTGCCCTTGCCTATTGGTTCGAACTATGAGTTCTCGCCAGTGTCCACCTTCATGAAACAGAAGGCAGGGTTCCAATGAAGACTGTCGAAGGAATACTTCGTAATACTAAGAAGAAACCAATATTAAGTTAAATATAGACATTAGAAACAAGTCCCACAGTTCATTATTCATTCTAACTCCCCAAAACGCATATGCTAAAGCCTTTACCCCCAGATTCTCAGAACATGACTATATTTGAAAATAGATCTTTAAAGCCAGGCATGGTAGTCAACATACTTAAAGGATTCAAGAGGCTGAGGTCAGAGAATCTCAAGTTTAACATCATTCTAGGCAGCCTAGTGAGACACTCAAAAGTACATAAAATTAAGAGGAGGCCATTAAGCACACTTAATTCAATCTGACTAGCATATTTGTAAGAGGAGAAAAGGCAGGGGTAGAAATATAGTTCATCTGGTAGAGTACTTGCCTGGTATACAGGAAGTACTGGGTTTCCCATTTCCAACAATGCATAAAAACTGGGCATGCCAGTACATACTTGTAATACCAGCCAGCACTTGGGATCAGAAGTTCAAGGTTATCCTTGTCTACATAACTAGTTTGAAGCTAGCCTGGGCTACATGAGAACCTGTCTAGAAGAAAGAAAGAAGAGGGAAGAAAGGAGAAGAGGGGGAAGAGGAAGAGTAGGAGGAGAAGGAGGAAGAGAAGGAGAGGAAGGAAGAGAAGGAAAAGAAGGAGGAGG